TTGACATTGCCTCCGAGTGGGTTTATGCTCTGTACTTGCGTTCCAATCCATATTTCGCATAAAATAGCTCCATTTCGTCCAGAATTTCCAAACTTTGTCTTTAAGGACTCTGTAATGTCTAAACAAGGCAGTATTAGAGAAGGAGAACGCTTTTGTTTCTTTCAGCTGCGATTCCTTTCGAAAATGAGACCGTTGCTGAGATACGAAGTAGAGCTTATCGAAAGGATGCAACGCTGGACGTCATCGAAGAGCTGTTGCCTACGGGAATGCTGGAGGTGCGTGTGAATTTTTCAGTAAGGCTTGCTTTACGAGGGTTCGTGTAGGTGCCGTCAGTGCACCTGAGCATCCGTGAGGTGAGGAGGGGCGGGGATCTGCAGGTCAGCGTCAGTCTGTCAAGCAGCGTCAACATTTAAGGATAATACTCTCAATTTGCTAAAAGGCTAGAGACCTGCTGCGAGCGGTTAGCCAGTCGGTGGGCGTGGTGCGTCGATAGCGGCGCGGGGACGGCCATGCTAACTCGCGGGGGCATACTCTTTGCTGCGAAACGCGCATCGCTTAGCACCCTTAGGAGGCCTGCTCTTTTCTACTAGGTACATTTCCCTTCTTCTACCTTCAACCTTATCGTGGAATCCTCCTTTGGAGCTCGTCTTCTTCAGGGCTATATTCCTTGCCCTTTCCCAGGATAGGCAGCAAAATTCCAGGATCAGCAAAACAATGTTAACTTTGCATTACAGCTACTTCAATCCTGTTGGGCGGAGCGATCCAAACGGCCGACTTCTCGCGTCGTTCTGAAGACTCTCAAGAAAATGGAGCAACAGAGCTCCACTGAACAACTTTTGCACTCCTAATCAAAAACATTTGAGAAGGCCATATTTATTGAATCAATACACTTCTTAACAAGTACCAAAGATCGATAATCCACATTGTGGTATTATATCGATTAGATCACATAATTTCATAGGCAATACACATATCAATATAAATATACAATAAATCTTTACACGTTACTTTCATGTTGGCGTCTTTTCGTTTCGTTTTCCGGCTTATCCGCTGATTTACTGATGTTTTTCGCTAAAGGCATGCAACACATATAGCTGTGCTTTGTTGTTGTTGTTGTTTTCACTGACGTTGTTGAAGTCGTTCTCGCTTTTGTTGTGAAAGTATTCGGGTCAATGGCGTAGCTCGCATTCACTTCTTCTACTCCTGCAATAAATTTTTAGGAGACTAGTAACAAGCATTTTAATGGAAAAGTTCT